ATATATATATATATAGTTTTAGGTTTTCTTATTAAATCTTTTGGTTTTATCACAATATAAGACTAACGTCATCAAGCATTAAGAAAATACACAATAAGCGAATAATTCCTTGCAGCTACCGCAAATATGCAGCGTCGAGAAAATCCTGTTTAGCGTGAGGTACGCTATGAACGTTAAAAAATTTTTATAGCCACTTGATAAAAAATATTTAACATGCTTGAACTTCATAAAAATTGAATAAAACTAGTTTATTTGAACAGAACTTTATTTTTAAAGCTGCTGTTCAAAAATTCGGACAATACATGCAATCTCAATCAGAGTAATCATCATGTACTAGAAGAGAAAAAAATATGAATTCAGCTTTGATAAAGCACCTTATATTCAGCCCTTTGGGTGTCTCTAGCATTAAAATTATATATTTCCAAACCCTGAATCTATTATTATTATTACTTGCATTGCTACTAAAGCTTATAGAACTAATACTCGAACTATCCCTGAAGCTAGGACAAACATGCGTCCTCTACGTTGGAACTCTTGAATCCTGTACACCATGTGGATGTACAAGACCTAAGTGCTGCGATGTATGGAATGGATGGCACTTTCCAAGCACTAGACTCATGTTTCTCCTTTCCATGTCCTAATACTTACGAATTTTTATTTTTGTTGGCTGTAATTTTTTACTACTAATTAATTTTGATAGTTTATTTGCTGAAATCCGTTCATTTATGTGCATAAATTAATCTCTCAAATTTGCTTAAAAAAGTATTTTTTCATTCAATATTTTTGTATCAACAATAAGGTAAAAAAGTTAATTTTTTTCCAGTGTTTTTTGTAATTCCTTTTCTGTAGTGTTACTATCAGTAGTAACTATCAGTACATACTATTTGTAGAAAATTTATAGACAGTTGAGTTATCTATAAAATGAGATGCGTAGCGATATTTTATGTAACATTGTTTACTCGCAAATAGCTTTGAAAGTTGAAAAGAGAATTTTTTTTAAACATTTAATAACTCAAAAATTTCAAGACGATCAGTTTTTAACTTTTTGAGTTTTTGGCAATTGAACTTTTTTTCGAAGTCCGTATTACGTAAAAGATTATGTAATCGTCAAATTTAGATCCTATTGTTCTCAAAAATTCAAAAACTATTCAACTATAGCACCCTATAAACGTTTTGTAAAAAATTTAGTACAACCGATTTTATAAGGACTTTTTTTTACAATTACAGTTTCCTACACAAGTACAAAACTGTACAACTCTTTGAATTCTTTAAAATAGAGCTTCCGCTTATTTTCAGTTATAAAGCTGCTATTTTTTTAAAAATTAGAGAAAAAATCAGTGCTCTGCGGGTGCTTGGGTACTCAAGTATAAAGTATACTTCTATGACAGACAATATATTCATGGAAATATACTTTTTATAAAACGATATTAACTTTTATAAGCCAATTTAGCTGTTTTTTACAAATGTTGCAGCTAAAATCTTTAATTTTCAATAAAAAAATATTTGATATTTTCTGGTCATTAACTATCGTTAAAATATATTTGATTTTAAGCAATCCAGCTTCAGGCGCTAAAACTGTGTGCAGTGGCACAGAGAGCGCGACTTCGCACAAACCGAGCGAGCGACTTCAGAATGCATCAGGTTAAAAAAATCGTGAATATTGGGGTTTTGCTTTGTCTAAAAAAAATTTTTCGTACACAGTTTGGGGTAGCAGGACGAGATGAAACGAAATTTTGTAATTGTCTTGATAAAAATAACAACTTACCATTAAAATACGAAGTGGAAGCTTCTCTTACATACCGAGAAATCATATTCATTATTATTAATAATACTAGACTTTTTCGAAAACATCATATGGTTAAGAAATATATGAAAAACAGCACATATTAGATGAAACAAATCCTGAACACCGTATACCCTGCTTGACGCAACCACAATTTATTTTACATATGGTGTGCAAATAGTGTATTTGCTTGAGTACATTATCAGGTGTCTATAAACTTACTCTAAAAAAGTCGGATCAAGGTTTAACTTTGAATTTTTTAAATTGCACGATAGAAGATTTTATTGATTTCCTAGCCACAGCTGTACTTGAGGACACTTTTTAATAGTATTTAACTGCTGCAGATTCTGTTGTGGGTAGTTGTTTTATTTTAAAATAAGTTTTAAAAGTGCAAATAAACATGATAATTTTGTCTCCAGCACTCCATGATTCCGGTGTATCGCTATTTTTTGAATAAAACACGAAAACTGTATCAAATAAATAAAATAGAGAGTTCAGAGAAAAATACATTAAAAAAAAAGATTATAGACAGTTTGACAACAGTTTACACTGTATGCATGGATAATTTAAGGAACATTGTTTTTACATCAAAAGTCAAGTCCATTGTGTAAAAGTTTAAAATCACCTTTTCTAAAACCGAATTATTTATTTCTGAGTGTATTTATTTTATTCTAATAGATTGAATACTTAGGTAATCTATTTCTTCATAATTTCTTAACCGTAAGATGTTTTTAGAAAAGTCTGGTTATAATGTTAATAATAAAAATTATTTGTTAATGTTTAAGAGCAGACAATAAAACTAGTGATTACTGTAACTTTGTATTTTAATGGTAAACTTTTTTTTTATCACAATAATTGTAATAATTCGTTTTATCGCTGTTATTATAATAAGGAATTATTTCCCGGATTGTGAAAAATGAGAAAATACAGACTTCAAACTGTTAATAAGATTCAATAAAGACAAAAGAACTTATACACAGAAAGAGAGCCAAGCCACATTCTTGCATGCACAGGACCTCATGCTTCAACGGATAGACGAGATCTAGCTTCTGCCCTCTGTTAGATCACCAAGCATCCGCTTGCAGTTCCTTACAGATGAAACTGGTCGTTCATCACTCACTTATATACATATATACTGTAACTATACTGTACACACTTGTAAACATACAATTATAAATGTAGAACATACTCAATAATCTCGTCGAGCTACCCAAAATCGTAAACAAAAGAATGTTTTTGGGTAAAGACGAAGCCGAGATATTCATGATTTCGTAAATTCAGTTGATTTTGAAGTAACTCCCTCGGTTGCTGTGGAGCCGCGCTCTCGCAGCCACTGCTCTCCTCACTCTGTCGCTGTCATCAGTTTTAGTGCAACGAACTGGATTACCTTAAATTTACCATATTTTAACGGAAATGGGCGGAGGCTCTATTTTAAAAAATAAAAAAGTTATGTAGTTTTATACGTGTGTGTTATGATTGTTGGACAAATCTTCGTAAAATCAATTGGAATTAATTTTTTTTCCATTTCAGTGGGATGCTATAGTTGGATAGTTTCATAAATTTATGAAACCAGTGGGATCTAAATTTAATGATCACAAAAACTTTGATGAATTATGCAATTATGTTTTGAAAAGAGATTGCAACTTTGAACGCTATTTTAGAGGAGATATTACGAAAACATTAGAAAAAATCTAATTTTTCACCTTATTTGTTGATAAAAAACTAGGTCTAGGCTATGAGTAAATTAAGTAAACCTACATCAGCATGTATTTTAAGATTCAATAAAATATTATTTAATTTTTTAAATTGTTTCATTTGTACATTATTTACCTGGAATATCATGTAACGTTTTTTCTTTTAAACTATTCTCCAATACTTTTTTTAATTGCTTCTCTTCTGTACAATCATCAACATTGAAACTTAGTCGAGCACATTCAGGAAGGTCTCCTGGAAGTTTTATTGTTATCATTCGCCACACTGTATGAATAACGTATGGAATAAGTGGATAAAACTTAACAAACCTTCAGCCAGAAAAGATGTTTCAGTACCAGTAGTACCAATCGTTAAAACATTCTTCTTTAAATCAATACAACATTGATGTCGTTTCAACATATCTAATCCCAATAGCATATCCATCGGCTGCTCTTCTAGAACGCTAAACGATGTTGTTAAATGGTCACGACCAATTTGAATTTGAACCATATGGATCCTGCCAATTATACGTTGAATGCCAACACCTTTTGCAACTCCTGACCATCTCGTATCGACCAGGCGCATTATGTTACATCTTTCAGCACATGAGGCTGACATTATAGTTGTTTGGGCCCCTAAAATATGAGAAAAACAATTGTTTTATTTATAAAAAAAACATTACGATGTACATGCTCTATAGTCTACATAAAAAAGATTCATGATAATACAGAAATTTAAATACAGTAATATTTTAAGATTCCTGCTTATTAAAACATTACAATCCTAAAATACAGGGCATAAAAGTATGGTAACAGTATTTTTTCATGCAATAGTTTTTTTTCAATACTGATTTTTTCTAATGACTTATTCGTATAAGTAAAATCTGTTTAGAAAAAAAATATAATGATATAATTAGCACAATGATAACAAATTACACCAACGAGATATTTTATTGCACTTCTTTTCTTTCATTTGTATTGCATAAATTTGTATAATTATAAGTTCGATATGGTTCTGTAAATGTTAATAATATTAGTTAAAATAATTACTTTAAATATGTTTCAAGTTTTATCTTACAGCTGAAAGTATATTGTAAGGCATTGAAATGCAAACGAACAAGTTGTACTTCGTTGTATTTATCTAGATCGACAAAATAGAAAAGTAATTTGTGAAAGAATCTTGGTATATTTGGAAAATATTTTCCTCAAGAAGTTTCTTTCAAAAGTTGGTCTAGTTACCCGTCTTGAATAGAAAAAAAAATTTGAACAAAACTAACGGAAAATTTGTTTGTTTAATAAAAGGCGCCTGTTTGAGTGATGCTCTTCTTTCTGTAGGAATCAATCTGTCGCTGGAACGAGTGGATGGCTGGACGATGATATTTAGCGAGTGGAATGATCCGGTCGCTAGTGCGATTGAAGTTGAATTCCTTCGGTTGTTGAATGATAGAGCCACAAAGTATGAACCGTAGTGGGCAAGAGCAACTAAGAGAAAGACAATACAGTGAGATTGTATTGTTATTGTACAGTAATGTTCATTATATCAGCACTGCTCTAACTACTACCATTGCGTAGGCTTCTTCCAGCGAGCGAAGTGATCGCTAAGAATGGGGTGTTCCATGCGGATCCTTTCAAGTCGTCGCTAAGGCTCTCTTATACACTGCCAGCCCCCCCCCCCCNTTGTCAATTCAGGCTTTTATAACCTAGAATGTGAAAAAAACATTGCAGGGTAGAGCATGGACAATGATTTCAGTAAATTTAGGAAAGCTTAATATATGCGATAATGTGATGGTGCACTATCAGCTATTATCATATAAAAATTTAAATAAGTATCCAATAGGTTATTTAGTCAAAATTTTCATTTTTATTACAGCTAAGCTTTTTTGAAAGAAATTTCTTAGTAAGCATATTAGAAAGTCAAATTTAACTACGAAATTGTAATTATGAATGTTTAAGTACAAACTTTAAATGCACGGTACGATACTTACCTCTGATACTAAGTAATACTGATGAGCATCATAATATAACCGTAGGGGTAGAAGTGGAGCAGCTTGTGTTACTATGACTGAATCTTTTTTTTGAAAATTTTCAGAATCAGGCTTGTGTAAGCCTAACAATGAGCTCATATCATCTACTTCACTCATTGATGGAGAGAGTTTAAATTTGGAGCTTGATGTTTAAATAGTCTGGATTTCTTCAAGATCAGTTTCATCTGATGTTGATAACTTTAAGTCTACTTTTAAAAAATCAGACGGTGTTAATGATGAAGAAGCAGTTTGGTTTTCATCACTAGCTGTTGAGCTTTGTATTTAGTTTAATAATGGTGTTGAAAAATCATTATCCGATAACCTGTACAAACTAAAATGTATTGGTGTACAGCGAGCACACGTTGTGCACATTAACTTTTCGGTATGCAACCGAGGCAGTAATATATAGTACACACAACGAACAGCTGTACTGAAAAAGATTCTGTGGAAGTACAACGACGATTAACAACTAGGAGGTCACGCACACACGACGACTATGATGACCATGAGACAACAAGTTGCACCAGATGACTACGATATACATATNTCCTTCGGTTGTTGAATGATAGAGCCACAAAGTATGAACCGTAGTGGGCAAGAGCAACTAAGAGAAAGACAATACAGTGAGATTGTATTGTTATTGTACAGTAATGTTCATTATATCAGCACTGCTCTAACTACTACCATTGCGTAGGCTTCTTCCAGCGAGCGAAGTGATCGCTAAGAATGGGGTGTTCCATGCGGATCCTTTCAAGTCGTCGCTAAGGCTCTCTTATACACTGCCAGCCCCCCCCCCCCCATCACGGCTTCGCTCGAGATTCACTGAATAGAATACCTAAGTGTGTTGACACGCAATGTAAAACATTTTCAGTTTAAACTCTCTAAAGATTACTAAAAGATAGTTGGTTATGTTAAACATTAACTTATACTGGTGCCCCCCCCCCCCATCACGGCTTCGCTCGAGATTCACTGAATAGAATACCTAAGTGTGTTGACACGCAATGTAAAACATTTTCAGTTTAAACTTTTACATCTATTCCTGACACTTCTTCGAATAAGAATCTTCTTGTTAAAAACATATTTATTTGGAATCCATGCAATTTATTTTTTCAAATAATAAGCTGTAAAAAGTGAAAAAAATGTAATCATGCTGAGAAGTACCGTGCGTTCCTTGCGCCATGAAATAATTGCTAGCCTTACAGTGCTGTTGACTTCCACTTTTTCACGTTATAATAAATGAAAAAGGTTATTTGTTCAAACTATAAACATTTAAAACTGACAAAAAATATATAATTAAAAATTGTTTTTTTTTTCAAACCTACAACTTTGTTACCAGAGCAACAAAGTTCTGGAGCTTAATCTCTCTATTTTTTATTTCCACAATAAATACAAATACACATTATTCTACCTATTGAAAAATCTGGAAGATTTAAATGATTACTGTAAGGGTTGCAATGGAAATCTGATCTCTCACGGAATGGATTCTTTATTTGCGTAATTTGACGCTGCTGTTTCAATCTCGATAAATGTTCTTCATCAGTTTCCTGACGCTTACAGTTGTAAATATTTAAAGTTTTCTTTCTAATTTGCTCTCTTGCAACTGTAGGCATAATTAAAACTTTTGTGAGCCCTAAAGGCTGTTTTTTGACAACTTTATTGAGTTATAATGTATTTGTTGGCAAAGAAGTTTGACGTTCGATTGCCCTAAAAATAACTGGTAAGTTAAGCTCTTTCTTGACTTAAGTTTCCAGCACACGTGACTGCCTGGATTCCACAGGGTAATCTTTTCTGGCCTGCTGTTGTAGCACCAGACTTATCGTAAGGAAAACTACAACGTCTGAAGCGTTAGAGCTAGTTGTAGAGCTCTTTACCAACGTTTCCTGGTGTTGCACGGGAGACGTTGGTATCTAAAGCAACCTTCTTTTTTTGCACAGCTCTGTCGTTTTGGTGATCTAAGGTGAAGAGATTAATTCGTGATGCTTGCCCGTTAGAGACTGTCCCGTTTGCTTCAGTTTATTTTTTCTTCACAGCTGTTAGGTTTGCCCAGCACATACCTTGGAGAGCATCGATGATTCCTGATTGAATGCTTACAGAGTCGAGAGAGTAATGTAATGTAGGGTCGTCGGCCACCGGGGCTCACAGCCTTGCAATGAACAACTCCACTCGTGACGTCTGCCACTGAATGACTGACTTGATTCAATAGTGACCGGCATTATATGATCTTTTAGTCGATGAATCGTTGCCAGAAATGGTAGTCAACATGTATTCATTGGCAAGGTAGTTTAACGTTAGGTAGCCGATGACTAAAAAGAACCGATGAGATTGACGGCTGAGTAGCAAACGTAAATACTTATGATGGCCCTGAAAAGGACTAGTAGTGATACTTTTAGCCATAACTAGTTATTATTCTTGATGATGGAGAGCTGGCTGTGCGGGTAGGTTAAAGCTAACCCTTGGAGTCTTTGCGTACGAGGACCGTGCTGGAGAAAGGTACGCCACTGACCAAGGAATATCTCGTCTTCGAGTCTCTATCAGTAGTCAGGAAAGTGGGCCTGGAGAATACTGTCTTTGTGAACATGCCGTTCCTACGAACTGCTGAGCAGACTGTTGTGGCTGCCCGAACTCAGAGATGTTCTCTCTGGCTTGCTGTTGTTATATCATCTGCTCTGGTAGCAGAATGGCCATAAAACCCCAAATTGCTAGAACAGAGTGTGATAGTTCAGGATAGAGTTCCTCGTAAGTCACTTGTCTATTAGAGAACAGTGTCGTCAGTAGACAGGATACCCAGCTGCACAACTTCTAACTCTAGGCTTCATGCACAGTCAGTAAACGACTGTGTTTTAGGTATGTTGCTCGGGCCTATTATAACCACACTTATTTATTTCAATTGCAGATTGTTTTGATTTTACTTCGAGGATACCTAGCGGATTGAACTGAACTACAGCGCAAAGCTAGCTTATTTTTTCAAACTTTTAAGTTTATTTACTGCTTTTGTTATAAATTTCTTCAAGATAAGAAGCATACTTAAATCATCTAGAAAGTGTCAAGAATTAATATGCAAAATTTCAGCAAAATCGGTTGAGTAGTTTTTGCGGTTAGCGATTACAACGCTTTTAGCGATTTTGCTGTATATATTAGCACGATTTTTTAAAAGTAATAAATTAATGATAAGTTAATAAATGTTCATTAATACATAAGAAAGCTGCTCTGCTAAAATATATAAGTTTGTAAGATTTCGAAAAAAGTGTTTAACTAAAAAAGTGAGTTCATTAAATAAATTATTTATTCATTACTGTCATTTATAATCAAGTCAAATTAATTAATAAACAGTAAATAAGAAATTACACTAAGAAAAAGTTATGAACCACACCATTAGATTTCTTATATCGCAATCGCTCACGGTTAAGTCAGTAAGGGCCTTGGTTAGCATGCGAGAGGTAAGGGGCTTAAATTTGCTTGGAAACTTTGAAATTTAAAATCTGTTTTTTTTTTTTTTTTTTTTTTTTCTAGAATTGGTTAAAAGAAGAAGAAATAAAAATTAAAAAGTGTGGTGTGGTATAAAGGAGAAGAGACTTGGGCAGGACACGGCGGGGAGGTAAAGAGGGGACTACA